GATCAGCTGTACTAGATATTATTTTTGTGCGAGTGGGTGACTACGTCTGGAATTCAGAAACCCACACGTTACCCGGCAGCTCTAATTGATATTTCGATGAAGGAAGAAGTGCCACTAAGTGCATAGATATCTCATCGATCAAGGGTACACTAGAAGGCACGGGTATTACGTATCTTGAAAAGTGACACTATGCCGATTTTTTTTGACATTGTACTGGTTTTTTTGGGACATTATGTAGGTTTTTCTACAAGATGTTAACTTAGCACTAACCGATGGACACGTTGTGAACTCGTTTTGTAGTTGTACGTGTTGCCTAAACGTCATGATGCTTCAGTTATCATGTTTGGCTCTGATGTGTTGTAAAACCTGCTTCAGAGATGGCATTACTGGAGATCTAAGCTGTAAGTTGTATACTATTGCTAGAAGGGAACGGCATTGTACAGGTGCATAGTGAGGATGTATATGCTAATAATATGTGGTGATGATAATTCCATTGGATTCTTGTCTCAAATACACTTATATCCACTCTTTCTTATCCATTCTGTAAAATACACATGCAAATTTGCTGAATTTAAAAAATGAGAGAGATAAAAATAATTATATTCACTGTACACTGTCGAGTTACAACTCATATGCATGCTAACAGTAATTACACACAACACTGGTGATTTCCCGTAATTCTGTGCAAAGTTTTTCAGAACACAAATCGTAATTCATAACTTTGAACATAACCTGTCTTCAGAAAGGACAACATATAAATAACCCGTCGGGCACAGCTATTAGATAAACTTCATTAGCAGCATATTCGGTAATGATCTTTTCACACAGCAAATATCATTGATTTTATACACATGCAGACCCACAATCATTCAGATGCGATCTTGCTATTCAATCAACTTTTTTCTCAGATTTGAAAGCTATAGACTACTCTGCTTCACAAAACATATGCTACCAACAATGCATATGTAGTTGTGCCATTAACAGTGTCACTTCTTACCTAAGAAAGATAGTTTAAAAAAGGATACATTTGTTATAATCCACTATCATGTCTACAAAAGCCTACCTTTTCTTTTTATAGGCTTGTGTCAACTCAGTGAAGCTAGACCACCGATTTTTGTCCTTGCTGTACAAAATACTGCTTAATACATTCTTAAAAGGCATAAATAAAATTACAGAATTCTTATTCTCTAACAAACATCGAATAAATATTCGATTTACTTGACACTCGTGCGAAAAACCCTGTTTCTTTTCAACTACCTTTATAGTCAACATGTGAATTTTCCTGGCTTAATAACAATGCGCTCTCGCTCCCTCTATTGAACCGAGAACGACTACGCGACGTCTAGCCGTGTCTTGCAACGCTACCCTTGTGCAAACTTGTGTCGGGGCACAAATGGACAGATGGTGATTTATGAATGTATCTTGATTTAATATGGGAACTAGGGCCCATGACCTATCTTACGTAAATCGTATAATGATTCTCTAGTTTGAGAGATACTTTACGTGATCGATCATATTCATTAGGTACATGACATGAAACCTTTTCATTGCTTGAACTTTGTTCTACATGTAATTTTCTTAGGAAAATGAGGCTCAATGCTTGACTGAATATTCGTATGTACCAAAAGGGATTTCAATAAATGTATGAAATATAAAATAATATTCATTGACAGAATGATGTGTTTACGAAGTCAATCTACCCGACTCCACTTTTTTGCAACAAACGTAATGAACACTAAATAGTAAGCTAGTATCCATCCCTCTGCCATATTCACAGCGACTGCATTTTTAATAGACCAGAGTGAGTGTAGTGCATGAAAAATGTAAACAGTTCGTGTCAGCGCGGAGTGTTCTATAAAATCCGCGGTATGTGTACCTGTGTATACATAAACGCGGATTTGAACACCCCCACCCTGTCTCCTAACGAAGCATTGCAGCTAATGGACTGAAAAGTATCCGGTGTCATCGATAGTGTGTGTGTGTATGTGTGTGACACTATTAATGATTCAGAGATCCAAATTAACTGATAATTTGCGCGACACATGGAAAAATGAGTAATTTTGTAGTGTACTGATATACTGCCGTAGTAGTCACGTATGTATGTTATGGTTGAATTATTAGTGAATGTCAGTCGTAATATCGTAATTAACACCTGTACAGTTCAGATTTCAGTGTGAGCGATCTCTGATCTATAAGTATTGGATATGTGTTTATACCTTTGAAAAGATTTAAGTGATATCTTCTTAGGATTCGGTCAACCTGAAGCATTTATTAAGTATACAACGTTTCCGTGATTTCAAACGACATCTTCAGGTGCATGTAGGGGTATCTAAAACTGAACAAAAGCGTCAGAAATTACAACACAAAGCACTTCATATAAGAAAACACTACTTACTTGGTTGGTAAAAATTATTACATTTTTGCCAGATACATGTTGGTAGTTTGAGTGTGGGACAACTTCAGGCAATAGATATTTTCTGACAAAAATGAAAACAAAAAAAAGGTAAAAATACATACAGGAATATTATCGTTTTTTAATGGGTGGTATGGATGGGAGAATGCAACAGCTACGTTCTTTTCATTAAATTCGAGTAGATACTTTATAGGTTATTTGTATCAGTTCTATAATTTATACTGGTAGTCTTCCTTTTTTATATCATTTCAAGGATGTTTCTTTCGAAATAGTTTATTTTTTTGTCTAGAATTCCTACATTTATGAAATCAAATTCATGCTGATTGTTAATTGCATGTTTGGCTAACGCGGTGCCCTTTAAGAACATTGAACAAGTTCATATAATATTTTTAGAAAAAACGAACAACAAAACAAAAAATTTTGACTACCTGCATCTTGAAAACGGAGAAATTGCGAATATAAACTTTTTTCTTTTTATTGCGCAGAAAATCACCCCTTGAATTGTGTTCAGGTACATTATGAACACCCTATGTAGCGCTTTTACCACCCTAATAACAAAACTATATTTCTATATACAGGTAGATTCTTACGCACAATATTACAAATTTCTTCCACAATTTTTGGTCCAATATATGATTAAAACATATCGTCGCTGTTCTGACAAATGGACGTAAGCGCCAATAACATAATTTTACAGTAGAGCGATTTTAGGAAAATATGTATCTTAGATGAGTTGATGATTCTGTAACTAGCAACGATATTTTTTTACAATTTTGTATCAAAGTGAATCATCAGGGACACTTTCAATCTGTCATAACGTGATTGCAAAGCTCGCACGATATTGTCCTACAAAATGGCCACTTTGGACATACGCCCGTTCGTCAGAGTTACTTTACAGAGGTATGTCACTTACGCCCTTTTTCATTAGTAATTTTAAACATACACAACGGTTGCTATCATTAACGACATTTTTATTTAAACAAAGAAAACTTCAAAATATAGAAATTAAACAGAGGATGTATGCAAATTATAAAAAACTGAGGTGTTTAATGATGCGGGAAGTATTGTTGAAACGTTAGATCTCGCACTATGGGTGTAGGTCCAGTACATAGCTCAACAAGGTTTTCGTATTTCAGGCTGTCTAATTTAATTGGACCATGATTAAGTCTACGTACCGGCTGTTTCAGGACTTCAAGAGTGTTTCTTTTCAGAGATAATGTGTTATACTGATCAGCAAGATGGCTGGCTTTTAGAAACAGTTGTGGAACATCTTTCTTTACCATTACTTCCTTGATTGCGGTGAAATTAACATTTTCCCCCGTGTCAAATTTTCTCTGTTGTCGAATGCGGAGTTGTTCAGCCACAAACTTGTAATCCAGAAAGTCAGCATTATCCATAGGGATGACAGTGTATGGAGAATTCCGTCTTGCCAATTTAAGAATAGGAGGAAGCTGAGCAGGAATAAAGACATCTCCTGCTAAGGCTAAAGCTGTCGAAATAGAACTGTGGCAGAGTCGCCCTCGCTTTGGCCGTGATTAGTTTCGAAGAAAGATAATGATATTTTTTTAATGTTTTTGGTATTGGTTATGGTGTGCAGCAACATGGCTAAAACAATCGTGTTCTTATTTTGGCCACCACAACCATCTGCAAATAGTCTCACTTCTTTTATTCGCTGGGTATCCAGCTGAATAAGGTAGTTTGCCACGCATGTTGATATTTCGTTGGACCCTCGTTTACTATTACCACAACCATCTGCAAATAGTCTCACTTCTTTTATTCGCTGGGTATCCAGCTGAATAAGGTAGTTTGCCACGCATGTTGATATTTCGTTGGACCCTCGTTTACTATTAATTTCGTTCCAAAGATAACACTGATAGACGACGGCAATAAAAAATTCCACTTTCATTGCTTCTTGGAAGCGAAATTACCTGTTGCAGGTCGAATACAGCACTAGCTATTGGGTGATATGCATAAAGGCGAGTGGCTACTTTTGACTCGCATTTTTAAAGTAGCCACTCCATTTGATATGCATAAAAATGTAAGTAGAAGCTCACACTCATGAGTTTCTACTCTTTCCGTGAGGCTGTACTCGCTCCTTGAGTGCCGACTTTAATTTTTATATGCATAAAAGCGAGCGTCCACTCCGACCGCTGAGTACATACTTAAAGAAATGCGAGATACCTTAGTAGTAGACTCAACTTTTATAAGAAGTGGATGTCTTCACGAAATGGCCGAATTTATGCCTATTTATCAGCCTACGAAGGTGTTTAAAGATGGTAGAGAATCAAGGGAAGTAGACTATCGAGCGTTATATCGGTTTAGTAAAGTTAATGTTGAGTGGATAAGTAACCATTTTCTTGGAGAGACAGAAGAATATTTTGGCGGTGCTTTGAGTAATATAGAAATAATGAGGGTTTTTTACGATATGTGGGTGATCCAGGATTTCAAATTGGCATAGGAGAAGATATTGGTGTTCATCAATCTACGGTATCCCGAACCGTTACCAACGTTATAACACGCATTGTGCAGAAGTCGAATATTTGGATTAGATTCCCAACCTCATGTGAAGATCTACACAATGGTAAAAATGCAAAAAAAGTTCAATTTTCCTTCAGCTATTGGTGTTATCGACTGCACCCATATACCTATTCTGAAGCCTTTTATTCATGCAGACAAATATGTGAACAGAAAGAACTTTGCTAGTATAACTGTGCAAGCAACGTGCAGTTCAAACGAAGAGTTCACAAGTGTGGATGTTTCTTGGCCAGGATCTGTACACGACTCTCGGATATGGAAGAACTCTGATATATACAATGTTATGAAATGGAATAGGGCTAGTGCTGTTTTGTTGGGAGACTCAGGATTAGGATTGCAGAAACCGCAGAACAAAAATCATACAATCGGCTGTTTACGAGAGAGCGAGTTATAATAGAAAGATATTTCGGGCAACTAAAACAGCGTTTTCCCATTTTACATAACAAAATACGCGTCGATACAGAAAAAGTCCCCTCCCTTTTCATGAGTTGTTTTATGTTGCATAATGTGGCTAAGCACCTTAATGATGAAGATTTTGATGTTGATATACCGGGAGATGGCGAACAAGAAGAAATCCATAATCAACATGCTGCCGACTATGCAGATGAAGAATTATTCATGGCTTTCGGGTCTAAGTAAGTATCTAGCATGATCCAAATTTACAAATTATGTAGATATACGTTGAAGAACGATGTTTAATTACTCATAACAAAATTAATAACACACAAATGGTAACTTGAGAGAAAGTTCTCAAAATTAATAAAAAATAACATAATAACATTTATGAAACATGAAGTATGTCTGTCAGTTCTGTCCTGGAAATAGGCTCATGAAAATTGGATTTCCAGTTTCTGCACTTTCATTTAAAGTTGATGAATTTGGATTAGATTCATTAATATTTTTCTTGTGAAGTGGCAGTTCCTTAGATAGCCGAAACACTTGTAGTTATTCAAGTAAAACGACACGTTGGAGCTCTGTTATTGATAAATCTCGTGTTTCATCGGTTTCCACTAATCCTCGTTTTCGTTTTTTTTAGAAGGCTCCTTACTGGGCCCGGCTTTCATTATGGTAGCTTCCAGTACTGGTCCTGAACTTCCAGATGCTTCTTCGGTGATTGTTTCTTCTTCAGCACAGGCTGTTGGAGTGTAATCAACGCTTTTTTGTAGAAAATTCAACAGTTCTTGCTCCCATCCTTTCAATTTTATTGGTTTATTTCCGGTTTGATTTCTGTCTGTCTTCGCTTTTAATCTGGTTTTTATGTTTTGAATCTTCTTCCAAATCTGTCCTTCATTATATTTAACTCCTAATTCGGCTTCTACCTTTTCTTTTATTTCTTCAACCGCCTTACGTCGTTTATTTTTGATTTCCGGGATGTTAGATTTTTCCAACAAAACAGGATACTGTTTAATTATATTAACAAATACTGCTTGATTTTCAGATGAATGGTGTTCAGAATAGGTTGAAATCATGTAAATGAACAAATAATAATCGACCTAAACACCACCGACACAAACGTTTACCGGTATACAGTAGTAACTGCTCGCAATAGAGAAATTGCTAATTCGGCGAGACAACAAAATTCAAGTCGGAACTCGAAAACCAGAGTGCCTACTCAAGTATTTCATTAGCACTTGAGTAGCCTCTCCGTTTCTCGACAAATATTTTATGCATATCAAAACCGAGTAGGCTCTCCCTAACAGGAGTAGTTACTCGCTACAATATGGAGTCGCTACTTCTGAGAACCCACTCACCTTTATGCATATCACCCATTATTTCAGGGTTTTCTTGTGATGATTCTTTAGCATCTTTTTTCTTCTTTCGCACAGAGTCCTTCTCTGCAATGTGTGCAGCAAAAGAATCTTCGAGTTTGGCCTTCGTTTCCGTGCTGCCTTCTTTATAGGACGAACAAAGGTTACACTGGTCTTTCTTTGGGTGATGGAAAGAAAGATTCAATGACTTGAATACCCTTCGATAGGTGTGATAACTACACTGTGGCTGACGTCCCTCTTGCACGTAAAAATAATACATTTTCTTAATAGTCAGATCTGGGTGCAAATACTCTCTGGTGGTGGACTGTCTGCAAAAGTGTGATTCCATCCGAGGAAATAGTTGAATATGGGCTAATACAGCAGACCGAGTAGCGCTATCTTTTTCACGCAAACTGGCGTGTCGACCACCACGTGCATCAGGACGTACTATCCCTTCATCATTTAATTTATTTAGCGCCGCCCGCATGGTTTTTTCAGAAATTCCGAGCGCGTTTAAAAACGTAGTTTTACAAACAGTTGTTGATGTATTTGCATTCGAAAGACGATAAGTAAATGTTCTTGTTCTACGTGAAACAATGTTGCTTGTTCGCTTTCTTTTAATATTGTGAGCTGTAACATAACGAACTCCCTCTGTAACTGAAGGCTTTTTGTTTCTGTTATGATAACTGGGGATACCTAGACGTTCTATAAAACCCGTAAACATGCAGAAGATGGCGCAAGAGTATCGGTTATCACCATAGCAACCTAGAACTACGTTAGATATAGGTGGCTATGGTTACATACTACGGGCGAAAGCGACACTAAAGCGCAATAGATGATGTGACGAACAGGCGTATGTCCCTTTATGGATTTACGCCTTTTAGCCAGATTCCCTATCTTCCATTGATGTCGCTTCCGTCCTTACTGACTATGATGTATACCCCGTGGTATGAGCGATGGAGATATTTCCATTTGTCAGAACATAGGTATACCCCTCGAGAGTTTCTCAGTGGTTTATCTCCTATTTAGAGATTGTGTCGCTTACGCCCATTTGTCAGATCAGCGACGATATAATACCTAAATGAAACATTCGAGTAAAAGTAATTTACAAAATAATACCAGCACAAAACATGTTTTGTATATTGTAAATATTTTTGTTGGGTAAAAAGTTGGGGGTGGGGGGCTGTATCTCAATTTTTTGACGTTAATAACCCTTTGCATTCAACACACCTATTAGACATACTTCACACATACATTTTGCCATATATTTTCCCTTAAGACTCGGACTGCAGCCTTGCCGGATAGTCGGTACGGCAAAAGACAAAACTATAGGTCGCAATGCTGACAAACAGGTGGGGACAAGGAACTAATTATATAGGTCTGTTTGAATGACTTGATTCACATGATCTTCCGTTATACACGTTTGTAGTTGATATGTTTCGGAGAGGGGCCAAGTTGTGCTAATCAAAGTCTTTTATGAGCTAATGACAGCGACACGAGGGACCTGCAGAGTCGACTCCTTGACGCCATTTTTCTAGCTTTTGTTTGCATTATAAGCTTAAAACTACAAAACGCACGTCTTCCCAGTTCCTATTCCGTATGCGGTATTTGTTAATTTCTTGCTTGGATTGACTAGAAACGATTTTCGAGTGGTCTTTGTATAACAAACCTTTCTAGTATCAAACTAATCGACGCATGTTGGTATTTCGTGATTCCCAGTCAAAAATCAGCGTCAATCATTTGTGGCAGCTGTTAACCGCTCAATAAAAATGAGGTTAGATAATTCTATTCGCGTGCAAGTGGAGCACCTGAGCGGCGACACGCACGCTAATGAAATATCTGGTAATTAGCTGTCTCTAATACAATGATGACCATATGCTCATAATTCGATGCAGCCACGATATGCCGCAGTGCCACCGCCGATGACATGATACCCTCTTTATTTCATTAGGGTTGTGTATGCACTGCTTTACAAATTAGTGTATTCAGTGTTCATACCGGTTTTGGAACTCTACCATTTTTTCATCCCCTTATTAGATCAGTTGAACACTTAGCATAGCATAAGGCAGCACAACAATAAGAGAATCACTTCTTTGAACAATACGATATCGATGGCTTAGTGGCAATACCACGTAATATCAAAAACTTATAAATGTTTCACAATAGTGGGTCCATCTAGCACTAAGCTATCAAATTAAAAGATCAGCAACGATGTACGCTCATAAAACTATTCTTACTTCCAACGCCTACTGACGTGGAAGTATTGTAATCGGGAAAATTTTTGCAAATGAGATTTGCATATTTCTTTTTGATGTTATACAACATGTACATAAGGAAAAACCATGTCACTCATTTCCGTTGGTTTGTCTGCCTGTCGGTGTGACCACTAATATTAATATTATGACTGCCTATAGCTTGAGAAGTACCGTTACTACTATACTAAGAAGCCAAAAGCTTTGTAGCTTTTGAATATCGGTCCAGTGGCGACAATGGACAGTGGAGAAAAAGGTCAAAAAGAATAAGGAATAAAAAACGCTCAAGCTTTGGCTTTTGACATTTTTGAAAAAAATTTTGCAGATTAGACAACTCTTTCGTCAAAGATTTCTCCGTACATTAGGTCTTACAAATTAATACTTATTATTAGCGTACCTACCGGATATATTCTGATGTTCTGGTATGAACATTTCGTCTTCCGTCTTTATCATCTTGGTAAACTCAAGTCAAGTTTTATTTATATCTGAGTAGTAACTTTTGAGTTATACGCGGATCAATGATTACTATACAGGCGACAGACAAACAGATAGACCGATGGAAATTCAATGCCTTTGGTGATATGTCAAATGATACCGAAAAGCATATTCGTATTTTTTGCCATCGCAACATGCTCAAATCAGAACTATGAAGTGTTTGGCTATAAATTATAAAATATGAAGTTTTTCGTGTAATAACTCTTTGTAAAAGTGCCAAGGAATAAATTTCTATTTCTTTAAATAGAACACCCTATATATTTTCAGTGATAATGATAGTGTTTTATTTTATGATTCCAAAGATATATGGCTTAACTTATTTTTATTACTTTAAACTTGAAGTTTGTGTCATTCAATAATGTTCTCAGTACCTCTATCATGGAGAGGATTACCACTTTTTCTGCAAAAATACGGGGTGTTCCATTTAAAAAAATACAAATTCATGCAACAGCACCTTTTACAGCCGCACACTCGTACGGGCGCTGGGAATTTCTGGAGCGTCCCTTTTCAAAATGACCCATTTTTAAACCGTTTATGTGAGCTCTCTTTTATCACTCCTCATAAGGTATTTGCCCTTAAATTATTCCATAAGTCACGTTCGTTATCCTTCACACTGGTACCTACCCATCCACAAAGTGCATAATTTATCAACAGCTCAGCGAAAATAATTCAAAAAAGCGCCGATTGCCCGCGCATATAATATTCATTACGGCAATCGGTATATTTAAATATATTGGGCTGACGCGCTCAATTCATTTACCATTGATTAAAAGGCAGTTCCTAATGAAAAAGTAATGAAGTATTTATTAGATTGTGGTGGTGGTAGGAACAGCTCGGCGGCGATTAAATATGGATGGGATGTGTTTTACGTCGAAAAGTAAACGAGCCTGTAATTCAGACACCGACCGCAGCGGTCTACACGCTGTTCGCTTGTTTTCCGGACGATTATGTTCTCACTTCTAGTAGAAATATGTATGTACATGAAACGGTAATCCTTTCATTATGGCCGCCTGGTTAACTGTTTCAATATTTCCACCTTTTAAGGACCGTGGAAGTTATAAATAACTTACAGAAATAAAAAGAACCTAAACGCTGACCTATTTTTATCCAAGGACCAGTACATGTCAAGAAGTAGGAGTAGGCGTTATACACAGTGTTCCGTACTTAAATAAAATAGAATAGAATAGTGAAACGGTAGGTGGTACGGAATGACACCTCGTGCCGTTCGATAATAAAAAAGCTCTAAATTAAGTTCTCACAAATATACAGTGTGATTGTACGAATACGCCAAATCTCACGAAGTATCGAACAGCCTTTTTAAATTTTGCACAATAGTAAAGTCACCCAGAAGTAACGTAAAATTAGATGGATGTTGTTGTCAAAAATAACACTTTTTAAGCTGAATTTTGAAATGTTTGGCTATCTACAAACAAAGCTAATGAATAGTGGTACACAATTAGCTAAATAGGTTTATTTTGAATGTTTTACTTCTTTGTTTATCTTTTCATTCATCCAAATATCTTATTTTCAGCAATTTATGTGACGCACTACTCAAGCTTTCAAAAGCTATCAACTTGGTTCCATCAATATTTTACAAATTAATGCTTGAAATTATTATGACTAAGGGCGTTATGAGAACTCAAAATTTCAGAGTCGGTATTAAATTTTGCTTATTTCCCTGTATTTCATCTAGCGCCCTGTAACAGATACTTTGATTTTATTATTTTGCAGAAATAAATAACAGTTTGAAAAAACTAAAAAAACACGAACTAATAAGTAGAAAATAATTTTTAATTACAAAGTGTTTATATTACAGTAGTAGATGGTCAAACAATCAATCATAACTAATGACCTTATAATCAAATTTAAGTTATTAACAGAATAATTCAATTCAGAGTAAGACGCGTGTTTTTTTAGTTTTTTTAAGCTAATATTTATTTTTCACTTTTTAGTTCAATTTAAATCAATTATTTTTTTGTGTGTGTTGCATTATCATCGGTACTTGATATGTGTGCAAATTTTCAAATTAATAAAAATTCTGGAAATTGGTGAAAATTATGCTCAAAGATTACAGGTCAAGCTAATAAAAGCGTGTTAAAAAAATTTATACCACAATCTGCCTCCTGTGAGGATTGAACTCGCGACTCCTGGTTTACAAAACCAGTGCTTTGCCACTTAAGCTACAGAGGCTTGTAATTTCAATATTCGTGAAGCAGTATTTGAAATCCGTGGCTTTTTATTAACATGTCTGCTTTTTACAAAAATTTTCTTATAAGGATAATGGAAAACTGTTATTAAATTATTGCATTGTCATCGGTCCTTGATACGTGTGCGAAGTTTTAAATTAATCAAACTTCTGGAGGCCAAGCTAATAAAAGCATGTTTAAAAGACCAACGCAGGCTGCGTTTACTTACTTCCGTATTTTTTTATCAAGTTATTTGTATAAACTAATATTATACTTATAACAACATGAGCTCTGCTGAAAAGGGAAATGGCAGTTAATATGCAATTCCACTGATTTTCACCTACCAGATCAACTTGAAATAGAGTTCAAACACAAAAGTGTAATAGGACTTGACATGACATGAATTGTGATACATGCCATATGTGCATTATGTAAGTAACTCTTAAAAATGTTGAATTCCTCACCTGCATAGTAGGTTTTTCAACATTTTAAATTCTGCAATTACCCTGAATAGATCTGGAGAATCAAATTCAGTTGGTCAAATTAAACCATTAAAAAATCACGCAAGAAACCAAATA